GTTTCCCAGGTCCACTTAGGGTGAGATGTATCAGGAGGAAACAGTCTCCTGGTGAGCAAGGAGTCAGACGATTGTAAGAGGGTTTGACTAAGAGTCTGATAAAAATAATAAAAGTCATTGAAAAAAATCCAATTACTGCTAATCAAAGGCAGCTCTAACCAGATCAGTTAGAGCTGCCTTGATTTAAAGAAACTCAATGTTTTGGCTGTTTTCCAGTTTTCTGGAAGTTTGTTCCAGATTTGTGGTAGATAGAAGCTGAATGCTTCAACTGACTTGCATAAATCCAGGAAGTTATTTAGCTTGTCAATCGAACTTTCACACAAATCCCATTTGTATGTCATACAACCTTTTACTCTTTAGATGCTTAGAATGAATCCTGGTCAGCTGATGTGGGAGGGCAGAGAAAATGATCAATCATCAAACAAAGATCTATGTTCTGTGATGATGTATGTCGGCTATAAAACTGTAATAAACCTATTTGCCTGAGTGTAAATATGACTCTCATGATCCATAAGTCATGATTATGTACCAGTTGACCAATCGTCAACTGGTCAATGGACAAAGAGGCTGAAACAAAAGGTGACAAAAGCATCAATTTCTCTTAAGACAACAAAGATCTTAAGAACAGAAATTTCTCCTTTTTGTAGTATTTTCAGTTTGATTGTTTCCATTTGATCTGCTTTTCATTCCAGTCTCTGATTGCTGATCATGTTTGGCAGTAGTGATGGATGACATGATTGTTTTCACCGCTCACAAACAGGAAGTGACCATTTTTCTAACGAACGAGTTTTATCCAGTTTGACATTTCATCTGGTCTGATCGTACCACTTTGTTTTTGTTTTCTGTAACCTGACAGGCCATGTTTTATAACATCAGCTATTTACTTATTCATTTGTGTCCCCATGCTAAATGTTTCATTTTAACCTTTGTAATAATATATATATATATAAATGACACCAGAGTGAGTTTAAATGAATGCTCTTTTGAACTCCAAAGATATTACTCGTGTGAATTATTTAGAAGTGAACAGCAGTTAGTTTTCTCATGAGGCTTATTATTTTCATTATCAGCTCAGAGGGAACTGATATCATGTGAAGATTGAGACACCATCAGATCTGTGGTTTAATCAGATTTGACTTGTTTATTTGTTAATCTTCATATAGCACATGTACTCATCCTAAAACCTGTCAAATGTCTCTAACATGATCAATGCCACTTGGGTTTGAATCATATTTTTCTGTCTAATGCATTAATGGACCACCAAAGCTCTTAAATTACCACAATGGAAAAGTGTCCAGTTTTATTAACAATAATTGTATGATGTAAAGCACTTTGAAGTGCCTTGTTGCTGAAATGACCAAAAAAAACGTGACTAACTTGATTGATTGAATGTAGAGATCACAGAGTTCGATAGGCTCTATTCAGAACTGAACAAACCAGAATGAGATAACTATTTTTTTAACAAAAAAGTATAAACATAGTGTAAATATGCCGAGTCACACTGGTGGCACTGAGAGGTTTTTGTGGATCAAAACCTCTCAAATTAAAGTTTTTGATCCACAAAATGGTGTAAACGTTTTCATCAGTGCGTACCTGAGAGCTAAAATACACGGTGGGTCTGGTTGCCGTGCGCTGTCAGGGCAGATTTCCTCAACAAAAATGGGAGAATGAGACCTTCTGTATGGGAGACTAAAAGCTAAATTGTAAGATAGTTTCCAGGACGATGACAACATTTACTTTAAACTTTCGCTATGAACCGTATTAATCTAGACGCAATCAGATTATTTTGGTGAAAAGGTTAGTCACGTTTGACTGTAACATCTGAATTATCAGAGGAAAATGATGTCATCAGACAGACCAAAGGGCAAAGTGATGCATACATTTCTGGAACTTCAAAGAATAAAAATCTAAAGTGAGTAAAAATAGATAATATCAACACCAAGTTACAAATTCAGGCAGAAGAAGCAACACGTTCTCAAATGACATTTTCACAACAGAAATCTACAGAAATGAAAGGTTACAGCAGGAACAGTTTTACTCAAGCAGATGAAGAAAGTGCATTTTAAAGATGGGAGTAAATTTACTCAGGTAAATGAAACTAGCTACTAATCAACTGTGGTTATTGGATGACTTCAATGGCAACGTGTATAATGTGCAAATTAAAACTGCTGGAAAATCTTTATTTTCAGTCAATGAATCAAAAACAATTCAGCAGAGAACAGCAGACGCTCCGCTCTGTTCATGTCTTAAACCACAGGACTCGCTGCAGCGTTACCAATCAATTGCCAGTGCAGATGCCACATTCAATACGCCGGCTCAGGCACCGTGGGATAAATAATTTAACGGAGGGAGCTTGAAATAGAAGAATATTTCGAATGAGTGGGGGAAGCCACTCCCTATCTTTGCGGTTTAACCTGTTTTGGGAGCGGATGCTGCAGCGACGTTGGCAAATGAGAAGGGAGCCGGTAGATGCAGCAGTTTTCTTGTTAGGTTGATTTAGACTTGATTCACTGAAAACTTAATGGGACCAAAAATGGGTGTGGAAATTATGTCATTACTAATAATTTAGAGGCGGTGGAGGAAATGTCAACGGGTCGCGAGGGAATTCTCCAAGTGGATAATGATATTTATCGAAATGAAGGCAAAGCTGTTAAACTGGGGCATCGCATTAAGCCAAGACTCATTATTCAGAGTGCTGCTTGAGTTTTTAATATTCAAACAGGATGTGGATCGAGAATATGAGACTGAAATACACAATGCAGAAGGAGATCAGATAGATTACTACAGCAGGAAGCGACTGTATGGTTTAGTTAAGATTGAATAGTTTAAAAGTTTGTTTAAAATTGTATATTTTAGTCCTGAGCCAAGACAAACAGTGGCTCCAAACTAATCAGCTTCAGAAACACACACCTGATTCACTGCAGTATTCATAAAGTAGTTCCATTTTCACATCACATCAAGTTCATCTCTACTTTCAGACTGCTGGGTACATCTGCTAATGGTAAACATTGATCAAACATTTGATGTGCTCATCTGTGTATTATTTCATAATTGACTTAATTTGAGCAAAATCTCAAATCTTGGTGGTGAAATAAATACTGGGAGGGATCAATCGTTGAGCCACACCATAGATTTCTAAGATTAGCAACAGTAAGGACAAAAGTTTGAAAGAGAAGCCATGTTTGGACTTTGCTACGGAAGCTGAAGTACAGGCTGCTTCCAATGTGGATTAAAAATACCAGCATGACCAGTACTATGGATGCAGGTTTGGCAGGTTGATGGTGGTAGGAGTTCATTCCGTAACCGGCGGGTTGCTGGTTCAATCCCCGCTCCGCCCATCTCTGTCGTTGTGTCCTTAAGCAAGACACTTCACCCGCTTTGCCTGCTGGTGATTACCAAAGTGCTTCACATTACATTCAGTCATTCATCCACATTCACTCACTGATGGTGGTAAGCAGCAGTACCACCAGGCCCTCTGTCCACCACCAGCAAGCAAAGTGTGTTGTACCCTTGGGCAAGTGTCTTTCCGCTGTAGTAAGGGTTAAGGAAGCAACGATGGAGATGGACATAGCAGGAGTTGAGCCAGAGATGAACTCCTATCCTCGCTGCCACCGTCGTCCCATCAGTGTGTGAGTGTGTTTTGGGGTCTTTTGCACAAGTACAAGCCATTATCAATACCACTACCACTGACTGGAGGAAGCTGAACATGGCAAAAACAATACAATGTGTTGAAAACTGAGAGGAAAGAAATATTAGGGGTGTGTACTGATCAGTACCTGGAGTGGATCTGGTGACAGGAGAGAATGTTGGACATTGATGGTCCAATCGAGTCTTAAACAACTGTGAAAAATCACTCTCAGAAGATCTGAAACTAACACCTGAGGGAACGTTTTTCTCAAAATTTTGAAAAACTGATTGTGTTCTGTGCCGAGCTGTGAGACATGAGCGATCGCTACCTAACAGGACAGATGGCTTATTTTTCATACCTGAACAAGTTGGCAAAAAATTGATCAAATCTTCAGAAGCCAAAATGGCCAAAGAGTGAAGAGACCAAGATCAGCCAAAGAGTGGAATTTTGTTGTAGCCTGAGGAAGTCTTTCTCTGTTACAACTTTCACTTTGAAGAGTGTTGCTGTCTGTCTGACCTGGAAGCATGAAGTTATGATGCATTCCTTTGTCGGAAAAATGTCCATTTTCCGATCACTGTTTATAGAAGGAGCCCAGACTGTACTTCATGTCAGTATTGAAGAAAGAGTGTTATACGTTATTTTTTAATAATACGATGTCATGTCCTGTCTTGTGTTTTGACTGAAAATGCTAACTGGTGCAGCTAAATCCTTACACATTAGATTAGAAATCATCATAACCAGCAAAGCATAAAATTCTCCCCCGCCTAAAGGAAGAGAGCTAAAGTTACTTTTATATAAGAATGTGTTTCAAATACGCTTCTGTTAATTATTGGTTCCCTGATATGGAATCTATAATTGACTCATTTCTGAATATTTGACATAATCAGAGTCTCCTTCCTGCTATGGGCACCTTGATAATACTTCCATTGTCACTTATTAAACACGTCTATTCACATATAAGAGGAAAATATTCATGTCTATCCATGTAAGCATGATGGGATAGTTGCCATGTGTTTCCTATATGCTGAATAGATGATGCCCTTTGATTGACATGCAGTAGTATAAAACCTCCAGACTTGGGGTTCAAGTCATACCTGGAACATTAGTTCATTTGGAGAACTGAAAGAAATACCATTTAGAGTCCAAATCAAGCCAACCCCAACTCTGGCCTGCATGCTGAGCGCTGTAGTTCAACGTGTGCAGCATGGCCTTCTTCCCTCCTACATGTGAATGCAGCTGGAATTCACGAGTCTGCAAAACATCAGAGTTTCTTCATGCCTTAGTTCCTGCAGCTTGCTGCTCCAAGTCCCCTTCTTTCTCAAACACTGTCTTCTGTCCTTCTCCTCTGCTTGCCTATGCTGGTGCCCACCAGGTCGTAATATTTTATAAGGTATGTATGGATGCGTGATGTCAAAGCAAGCTGCCATCATCAGCGTCGTGTGAAAACGCATTTGTCCCTGCAGTTTTCTTTTTGTCACACCTAAATGCTTCAGGTCATCAGTATCAGACAAGGAGAACTTGAGTGAATACAGAACACTTTTCAACTTGTCATAAATTAAATGTAATTATCAACATTCTTGTGAAGCACTGAGTTAATTTTCACCAACCACACTCAGGCAGATTTTGCTGCTAAACCAGAACAGTCAAGGAGTTTCCTGATAGTCCAGTTGACTCGGTTCGATTAGGGACCAAAGTTGCAACATTTGTTACGTTTTCAGCTGCTATGTTTCACTTTCACGCCTCATTGTGTAAAACTAATCAAACCATTTGGAAAACCTGTTTACCTCTTCGCCTGTGGTGGCGCTATACCAAGAACCACTGAAGAAAACGACATGAAAACTTCTGGAGAAGACACTGAACACAACTTCCTTCTTCACAAAAATGGAGTGATTTTAGCGGCGAAAGGATTTCTCTTTTGTCTTTAATAAAAGACCAAGAGCCATTTCTCCTGCTAGAGCAAGACATGCACGTTTGTTTTGGTTGTCTTTACCCAGAATGCCCTACGCTGTAGTCCCCGGTCCGCTTGGCATTCACATATGCATTCAAACCGCACCAGTGTCCAGTTCAGTCTTCGTCTTAGCGCGACGTGCAGCAGATGTCCTGGTCGGAGGTGTGTTCCATCAGACCATCAGTTCCCGAAACCACAAAAAACTCATTAAGGCGCACGCGGGATCAGTGCAAACCTGCCAGAGTAAAACGCAAGAAGAAGGGAGGAATAATAGAACTGAGACTTTCTAAAGGAACACATTATGCATTCTAAAGAACATGTAAAACAGAAGGTTACTGGCATTCATCAGTTTGGAAAGCATTAAAAATTATTACTAAAGATTTGGGACTCAAATGAACCAAACTTGTTTGGATTTTTTTTTTTTTTTTTTTTTTTTTGTAGCAGTGGAGGATGCTACAAAAAAAACCCTAATACAGTTGTAAATAAAAGAATATTAAAGAACATTCAAATCTGGTGGTATTAAAATGATAAGCTTAAACCAATTGTGCTGATAAACTTTTGCCATTTGCGTAAACATGTTTTTAATATCATTTTGTAAAAAAACAAAAACAAAAAAACCCCACTTTATTCAATGATTTAATTCAGAAAAAGGATTAACTAAATAAAAAAATACTCAGCAAACATTATTGTTACCAGCTTGTGCTTAGCAACAGCACAACCACAGCAGGTTTCACAGTCAGACAGCAGGGAAGCAAGGTCGTTCCTAGCAACATCACAACCATTGCCATTTTGAATAAAGGTTCAAAGATTATTATTTATAACTTCATTTATGACTTAGACTGAGGTAAGACTGGGAATTGTTAAGGAAGAAAATATCTAAATTAATTAACTTTGGAAAAAGTTTGGCTCTCTCTTCCTCTGGATCCCAGGTCCCCTCGGCGGGCCACGTGTGGCCACAAGGAAAACAACAATGTGTGTTGACGTCACAGAATTACAGAGTTTAATCCAGTATAAGACAATGCACAGAAACTGCAGAACGGAGACATACATTCATTTACCTGACATAAATGGAAAGAAGAAGAAAAGCAAAGACATCTTTGGAGAGTTGCAAGAGCAAATCTAATGTGTTACTTCTGTGTAGAAAGTTTTATCTTCTTTTCTTTAATTTATTCAAATAAGGCGTATCTTTGCTCATCCAATCCAGGAGCTATCTCTGACCCCTTATCTGAAGCCTAAAACCTCTGCAGTGTTTACGGCCTTTCACAAATGAGTGCGAAAAGCCGGAACCTCCCCTGTACTGCTCTCCACACAGACAAAAGGCAGTTCAAACAATCCTAGCAAACCATCCGCTGCAGCCACAGGCAAAACAAAGGTCAACAGGCCAGAATAAGTCACTGATTTAAAACCACAATTTAGGCCATTTGAATCAAGACATGCTCAGTTTTAAAACTAGCTTATTTTAAATTTATTTTCTTAACAGAATAAATCTGAAGGCCAGTCTGTCCAGTTCCGCAGTCGCTCTCCTGTCTTCCCGGTCGACAAATTTCCCGGCCTGTGTGAACCGGGTGTGACGGGATCCTTCATAGGATGCAGCCTTAGAAACTGGACACACCCATTGTCAGGTTTTGCTAACGTTTGGTGGAAGCTGTTGTTGCCAAGGGCGCCAGAACCAGTCACCATCTTCACATGGTAATTACTCCACCACAGAGTCGTGTTGGTTTGGATAGATTTTATCCTTCAATAATTAAAATCAGTGCTTGAAAATAGTCTTTTGTATTTATTCAGGTTATCCTTCTATGAAAACAGTATTTATTTGATGATTTTCAAAAAACATGTAAGTGTGACATAAAAAGCAAAAACAGCAATAATCCTTAAAGGGACAAATGCTCTTTTTCACATCATTATCTGTAATGTTTGTGATGTCGTGCACGCGTCCTCCCTGAAGGCTGGATCGACACTTCTGCAGCCGAGCAACTCAAACTGGTGTCGATTGCTGACTAAACGGAAACACTCGCTCATTAGCATTCATTAATCAACTCTGCTGTCGCACTGCAAGAGTCCCTGGAGATGACAGCAAAATTCCACTTGGAGCTCTGCCGTTTTACTCCAGCAGCCAAGATGACACAAAAAAAGGTTCAAAGGTTATTATTTGAGACTTTAACATTAATAAAAAATAAAAATTACCCAGTAGTCTGAGCAGGTACAAATAACTACATTTTAGACTCAAATATCTTAAACATTCACCCAGCTGGTTTTTCCTCAATACTGAGTTTTGAGTTGCATAGATAGTTTTTCCAGACAGAGTATAAGTACATCAGTTTTATTAACTGTTAGTAGTTAAGTAGTAGCTCATAACCAGCGCAGAGTAGTTAAGTTGGTACTTATATTTCACACAACTTTTGAAACCACAGTTATTTTATTTAGACTCTGTAACTGTTTTAATAAATCATAAATAGAATATGACAGATTGTTTAGTCTTCAGATGCTTTATCAGACGATCATTCAACTTTCCTCTTCACAGCTTAGCAAAGCACAGAAAGCAGTCTGTTTACCTTTGTGTTTACTTTGAAATATCTCCAAACTACGGATCTTTTCGTTCCATCCTGCGATCTGACTTCTTCCTTCTTTTTTTTGAGAATCAGTAAATAACTTATCGATGTGTCACCACCACCTGGTATGAAGTGTAGTTCAGTTTTTTAGCTGCAGTTCAGAGCAGGAAAGTCCAGCAGAAAAGTGTATAGTTGTGCATCTTGCAAAAGATAAAAGCAAGTATCAATACTGGTATCAGTATCAAGTACTGATGTGATACTTGATGTTGGTATTAGTATCTGCATTGGGCCAATACGATACTGGTATCGGTATCAGGAAACCTCAAGCTTTCTGCTTTATGAAACAGACGTGAAGCCTTTGCTTACTAGTTTGTGTACTCTACTGCTTCCCACAATGCAAAGCAAACCTTGAAAATCTCGTCTATCAAAGGAAATGGTGGCACAACGTTGCAGGCCACATTCATCTTGGTTTTGCAGTGTTTATTTGAATGTTTTTAGGGGGTGGGGAGTTTGTCCAGGCCAATACATCACGTTAAGCTTGTTAACAAGAAAAGATGACTAACTTTGCTGTTATATGTCCAGAGGTGGGTAGTACTGGTGACACTTACTTGAGTAACTTTTGTAGTTTTGTAGCTTTACTGAACCGTACCTTTTACTTTTTTGAGTAATATTATGAATGATTACTACTTTTTCTTGATCGAGTAAGAGTAGCAATCCAAGTCTATTTCTTTTCCATTTAAAGAAATAGACTTCAGAGATTGGAAACATTCGATTCTTAGATTTCTGCAACGTATGAGCTAATGTTTATGCTACTCTGAACATAACTGGTATTTTCTACATGTCTCTGTCTACATCATTATTGTTTATTTGACATTCATAAAATACAGTGCTATATTGTTTCAAAGATTACATAACCATTTATGCATTTATATTTAAATGTAAAGCTTGTTTACTGTGACTGCCCCTCCCTCCTAGTGTCTGAGATTTTTTTTTTAATTTTTAATTTTTTTGTTTTTTAGTGAAGCTTCAAACTGGAACTGGATCATGGCTCACAGGCTGAGGTTTTAAATAAACTGCTCTGATGCACAAATCCCTGCTTTCTGGGCTAAACATGTTTTCTAGGTTAGCCTTTCAGGAATGCAGATAGAAGAGAAAACATGAGATTCCTGCTCTGGGATTAGATTCCGGCTGCTTTGGCTTTTTACTGTTTTATTTACTGTCCATATTTATTTCCGCATCACTTTGCCGTCCTGGATAAAGGGATATTTTCTATCTGCATAAATACAAAAATCAGCATGTTTGATATTGTCTCTTATTTTCCTTTCTAATGGAAAAAAAGGAACTTCTCAGGCTTCAAAACTGTTCTTTGTCAGCTATTCAGAAATGTGGTTTCATGGGTTTTACTATTGAGGCAGCAGTTTGTTGTGTTGTGCTTGTCTCAGAATGCTCTAAATCTAAGAGACACTATATATATAAAAGGAGAAGCCAAAATAAATGGAAGGAAGTGTTTTCTCTTCGAGGGTGAGTCCTCCTGTCAGACCTCGGTGCGCCTCGTGTGGCCAGACTACGGCTGTGCAGGTGATCTGGAATCCTGCCAGCACTGCAGTGTTTGTCTCACTTTGTCTACTTATGTCTTCCCTTCATTCACAGTTTGTCTTGTAAAAAATATAAAGTAAAAGAAACTTTAGAAAATTTTGTTTTGTTTTTTTTTCTCTTTTCATATTTAAAGGGATACTATTATGCAAAATTGACGAGCATACATTGTGTTATAATATTATTCCCTCATCCCTCATGTTGCTTTGATGTTTTTTTATGGATGTTTAAGAAATCCTTTAGTCTCCATGGCAACCATTCACATTTGATCTTGTGTGCAAAACACCTAGCTGCACCAAGGCTCCTCCTGGGATTTGCAGTTTCCAAACTTCTGAGTTCCTCCACTCAGCTCCTTCAGACTAGTCAACAGCAATTAGTAAACGATTGGTGGAACATCTGCTGAGGGCATTATATTGTCCTTCTCAGTGTAACGCTGGTAAAAAAAAATAAAAAAAAAAAAAGTTGAAGAGTTATCAGATCCATGTTGTGATGACTTCCTGAAGACGGGGTTTCAAAAGAGCAGGAGGTTGCAAAGAGACAGAGGCCCAATTTCAACACGCTAAGTCAAATTTTTTTTAAGTCTGCAACAACTGAACACTCGGGTCCGGATTCCGGAACAGTCTTTTGTGAATAGACTCAGCTGTTCTTGAATGATTTATAGTATTCTGAGTATTCTGACATTGTTTTGCTCCATGGTTTCTTCATACGTCTGATAATAGCACAGACCTGCACAGATTCATCCTTTCACCAGGCAGCAAAGAATATTTCACTGTAGTTTCACAAATGAAGGTTTGACACTTCAGTTTGAGAAATGACCGACTCTTTCCTAAGTTTTTACAAATGTTCTACACAAATAAACTATTTCTGTTGTCATGGTGTCTGCTGAGATGTTCATTCAGGTCTAGGACAAATCATTGCAGAGCAGAGCCTGATTTACCATCCCTGGCTTGGCTTCGTTGTTGCTGTGTTGTTACTACGGTTACTAGGTTGCAGTGGTGCGTGCTGCATTTCTATCTCCAGGTACATCTTTTTGACAAATGCTTTTTTTATTTGTGTGACAATGAGAAAATGTCAGCATGTTTATCAGATAGCTGCCTGTCAGTCAGTAGAAAACTGGATCAGGGAGATCAGAGTTTCATCTCCACCATTATGCTTGATAGATTGGTAACACAATCAGAACCGAAGTAAAACGGAAAACCCTGAAGCATCAGCCCGACTCATTTCACAAATGTTATGAAGAAAAGTGAGACACATGGAACTCATAGTACATCAGCGAAGACAAAGCTGAAATGGAAAACAAACAGCTTTCAGATGTTTTACATGCATTAACCATATCATGAGCATGAAATATTAATGCGGTTCTGTTCATTTCTGTTCTTCCAGTGATTACACTTCTTATAAAACAATCACTTATCACATCTCAGCTTTTTTTTTTTCATTTCCGTTGGTTCAGCTAAAAGGTTAGCAGTGTTAATTCCTGCCTCCCTATGAGATGTAGCGTCTAATACAGTGAATCATTTTCTCCCAGGCACTCATCGTGTTTCTGAAGATGCAACTCGGTCTGCTTATGTTTAGTCTAAAGCTAAGCTGAGTGAAGGCAGCTTGAGGTCTGTTTGGAGACAGTCCGCTGTTTTTGTACATTTATTCATCAATACTGATTTTGTCCAATAGCTAATCTCCTCAAGGATTAAATTATAGTCTTAGTTAGTTAAGAAAAAGGAATTTAGAAAAAAAATATCACAGGGTTAACACTATAAACTGTTTTACCATCTTTTATTTACAAAATTAGCATGGGTGGCATAGCTAGCAATGCTAGAACAGCAGTCTCTGTTTCTTCCCTCCTTTACAAACTTCTTCAGCTTTTATTTATCTTTTTATTTATTTTTGTTCAACTTAAATGTTTCAAGTCATCAAATAAAATGTATCTTCAGACTAAATTGACCAGAGTTTGTACAAAAAGAGTGGGGAAAAAACTATTCCAGTGTTTCTCAACCCTGGTCCTCACCGCCCCCTGCTCTGCATGTTTTAGGTGTGGCTCTATTCCAGAACAGCTGATTCAAATGATTGCATGACCATCAAGCCTGTTAATCACCCAGAGATACAACTCAGGTGTGTAGCAGAAGGGAAATACCTAAAACAAGCAGGACAGGGGGGCGGTGAGGACCAGGGTTGAGAAACACAAACTACCCAGTTTAGCTTAGCTTAGGGTTAGCAACATTAGCTTAATTTTGAGCTTTTTAAGTGGCTGCCAACATGTTTCATCACAGACAGGTTAAATAAAACACATTTGGTTTCCTCTTCTCAGCCTTTTTGTTACCTGCTGAAAGTCTCACTCTTTCAGCTTGAATGAACCACAAAGATGTTTCAAAAACATGCTGTTTCATTTTAGCTAATCTTTTGTAGTTTTTACGCTTCTTTTAGCTAAGTTCAGCATATTTTAAACATCCACATGTTTGTTAGTTAAGAAAAAGGAATTTATTTGAAGTTCACATCAAAAAGAAATTTCTTATTTGCTTTTTGCATTTTGAAAAATGATCAGTATGAAGTATCCATTCATTAAATCGCCCTCCAATGTTAAAACAACTATCCCTGACTTTTTCACTAAGCCTTTCCACGGTGAATGATATTGTCAGGGCGACCTGATTGCGCTGATGCATCCAAATAAATCCAGCAGATACAGTGTGCTGTTGCTCCAAATACATTTCAAATGATTCCTTTTGCTCTTTTCCATCCCTGGACAAAACCATATCACAAGCATGAAATATTAATGCAGTTCTGCTTTCTCATTTCATTTCTCAGACCATGCAAGCTGCCCGATGCCCGACAGATGAGCTGTCACTGACTAACTGTGCTGTCGTGAGCGAGAAGGATCTGCAGTCCGGACAGTGAGTAGCAACCATCCAGGAGTTTGTCAGTGCAAATTCAGAGCAAGGATTCTCAAGACACATCTGTTTTTTGCTTCTTTTTTTAACTGAAATCAAATTCTAGCACTGAATTGATGAGCAACTGAGAAAAAAAAGACATAAACTCCAACAATATCAATGATTTATTTTTCTCAGCTCTTTTACCAGAAAACAAGATAAGGCATGACTTTATTAAATGTCTTTTGGAGCTATAAGATGGAATGTATGGAATTGGATTTTCAACATTTTCCAAATCATATACATCACAATGTGAATTTTGATCCAATTCACCAATCATTTTGGTTCAGGTGTTGCTAAGAGACAAACTAATTTAATCGTCTTTTGGCCTCTGTATCATTTTTGTTTCTAGTTTTTAATTGGAACAACTGGACTGGATTGTGTTTGGACACTAGACAACATTCAAAGTCTTCATCAACTCACAGCTTTTGACATGTGACCAAAACAATTCATATTCTTAGGGACATGTTTGGATTGTCAAACAGCAACAATGCAAACATTGAACTGAACAGAGACCAGGGCCAGCAGTTGGGGGTGGGCATTTATCGTATCGTTTATCATTTATCATAATCATTTTTCTGTTTCAATTTATTGATGTCATGGTAAATTCCAATTAATGATGTTTAAAATCCTCCAACATCTTTATTGTTTCTTTCGGCTTATTGTCAGGATTGTTATTTTTACTATTTTCTTCACTGTTTGTTCAATATTAGTATCAAAAAGTATAAATAAACTGAAATACATGTTTAAATGCAGGTAATTTGTCTTGTTTAGTGATACAAATCACACTTTTTCATGTGAGTTGTGTCCTAAAGAAGCATATTAAAAATGACCATGGTTTTTCAAGAGCAGTATTTGTTTTTATGGTGTTATTATTGCTCTGCCATTCAGTCGGAGCAGTACAATTATTTCGAAAAGGAGTAATAAACAGTTTACAGTTCTTATTGTCACTTTATCATTATTGGAACAGTATCGCAAAATATTGTGATAAAACTTTGAGTCCATATCGCCCACTTCTACCAGCAACTCACATGTCCTGTTTGCTGCACCACTGAACAAGTGTTCAGAATTGAACTTATAAGTTATAAAAACCTGTCTAAAAAGCTCAATCGGGCTGTCCTGCCTCTCTCTGCAGACACGTGACAGTGAAAACGACACCAAACCACAAGTACGTGTTTACAGTAAAGACCCATCACACTGTAGCAGCTGGAAGCATCGCCTTCAGCCTGCCACAGGTACACAAAGCTGCCACTGACAGACTAAAACTCAGCTGTATGGCCCATTCTTAGCCGCTCATCTTTTTCTGTTGCAGAGGAAATGGGCCGGTCTCTCCATCGGCCAGGAAGTGGAAGGTAAACATTAGTTTTTTTGACTCATGCATCATAATAATTGTTTTCTGTTAATATACAGAGTTATGAAAAATAACATATTTCGTTCGCCCATTCAGTGTCCAACTACAACTTTGACAAGTCCAAGCAGTGCATTGGCGCCATGACAATCGAAATCGACTTCCTGCAAAAGAAGAGCACCGACTCCTCTCCCTACGACTCGGACAAGATGGCCGCCGAGTTCATCCAGCAGTTCAACAACCAGGCCTTCTCCGTCACCCAGCAGGTTGGTTCTCCACGGCTTTTTTTCTTTTTTCCTTTTTATGTTGGATCATGTTGTTAATATTTGGTGTCCACATTTTCCAGTTAGTGTTCAGTTTCTGTGACAAGCTGTTCGGACTGATGGTGAAGGACATCGAGGCGATGGACACCAGCATCCTGAAAGGAGAACCAGCTTCTGGGAAGAAGCCGCAAAAGGTACGTGACCTCAGGAGGGAGTTCAGACCTTGAAGCTGAGGGTGAGGAAGGAGTCAGGGCTGCTGCTGCTGCTGCTGCTGCTGCTGCTGCTGCTGCTGCTGCTGCTGCTGCTGCTGCTGCTGCTGGAAGCGTCTGTGAGTTATGTTTTGGTTCTGCCACTCATGAGATTTTGTTGATTGTTCAGAGACATATCATTAGTTTTAAGTAATTAAACTCCAGAGAGCGAACTGGAAAATTGCTTCCCAGAACGTAGAATGATCCAGATAGGACTGCAGTCGGCCATAATGAATTAGAACATGAGCATACAGAGATATTCATTCTAAATAGACATGAGCAACATGAGGGATCAACTCTATATTCTATAGGAATTTACATCATCAAACGTTTTCACAGCATCATCAGGTGTGGACGTCCAGGGAGATCAGTTTGTTAGAGCATGGGGAACTTTTGGACCAACCCAGCAAGGTAACATAAAAGGGCTGGGATACGGTTAGATTTAGCACAGTTACTAAACCTGAATTTCAATCTGAATACTTATAGAGAATTTTTATGATATAACTCTAACACTAATTGCTTGTAACTTTCTAATTTTATTTGTAACATCAGACTTAACATGATTCACTATAAACAAATAAAGTTCCACTATCAAATATAGAAGTGCTCCAATGTCAGTATTTTGAAACTAAAAACTCATTTAAAGGGGCAGTGCTGTGTAAAATCAACTATTTTTGAGCTTTTCATCATATTGTTCGCTCTTCAAATACATAGCAAAACATACTGGAGTGTTCCTTTGATTTTTTTATTCATGTTTGTGAACTTCTGTAATATCCCATGGCAACCATTCAGCTGTGCAAAATGCCTGGGTAAAGCTAGCCCTGCCTTCAACGCACAGCTCCTCCTCAGAGCTGCAGTTTCCAAGTTTCAGAGCTTCCGCCTCACAGAGCAGCTCTCCCCAGCCACGCCCTCCTCAGCTCTTTCAGACTAGCCAGCAGCAATTAGCAAACACCTAGTGGAACTTAGCATCTGCTAAGCTCATTATAAGAGCTACTTTTGAGTGCAACTCTGGTAAAAAAAAAAAAAAAAAAAAAACGTTAAAGTTTTAATAGAGGAGCCATGTTATGATGACGTTTCAGAAAGAGCAGGAGTTTTTAAAGAGACAGAGACCCAATTTCAAGGCACTATGTTAAGTCCAATTTCATTTAAGTCATATAAGATAACATAGTTACTTGATTGTGCTATAAAACAGCACTAAGTGCCTAGAAAATACATAACACAGTCCCCTTTAATGAATTTAAAACTCAAATGGCAAAGATGTACATGATCTTTTTTGAAAACAGTGAATTAATGTTGCAATATCCTTATGTTTTATCTCAGAAAGTGTCCAAATAATAAGCAATGAAAGTAAATAAATTAAATAATTTTTTAAGTCAAAAGCTTCTAATGAGGCTACGTTATATAGTAAACTACAGTTGATTAGTAGGACAACAGACCAGCAGCATACGTTCACAGGCCCTCTGACTATATAATTCAAAACATTAAAATATTGTGAGAAAGATTATTTTTGTCACTCATTTCAGAAAGTGAAACTGATACATTTTGTATATGCTATAAATTAAATAGTAACATTTTCGAGTGTTTATTTCTTAAAATGTTGAAGATCAAAGTTTACTGATAATACATAACCAAAACTCAATTTCTTAAAATGTATAATTCTGGGAAAAATTATTACATGGAGAGTTGAGTGGAAGGAGAAAGTGCTTGGTTTCTACACATGGGCTACAATTGTCTCATGTATTTCATTCTTTTCAATGAATCTATCCAATATATGAGCTGCACTTTTTTAAATGAGTGACATATTTTTGTACTTTCTAATGACATTCACATTTTTAGCTTCACCTGTATTGAAATTAGTCAAACAGAAAATACAGCAAAAAATGAATCATAATGATGCATTTCTCTCATCAGAAGCATTTGGGTCATGTCTGATTAGTTACTGACCTTATGTCTGACTGCGTTTCCTGAAATATGACAAAAATGACACAGATCTTAGATTTGCCTTCTAATTAGACTTGTATACATTTTAAACAAATTAAAAATGAAAAATTTGAATTTGAAATGAAAAATTTGAATTTTTCCTATTTTTATTTTACTTTTTTGCTATTTAAAGTTTTATTTTTGTTTTAAAAGCACTATGTGTTTCACAAATTTAATTTAAATACAAGTTCAGCTCAAGAAATGTGAATATCATAAACATAATTTATGTTTAGGCAGGATTTTATTTCAATACAGTAATAACTGCTGAGCATATAAAAACATTTCGAATTAGCTAAACGAGGAATGTGAGTAACTCTGGTTTCTCCAACAGATCGACATCGGTCTGATGGTGGGCAACAGCCAGGTCATCTTTGAGAAGGCAGAGAGTTCTTCGCTCACACTAGTTGGTGTGTTCTTCCACTTCTTTCCATATATATGGCCTGACTGTGTTTGAATACCAACTTATTGGTAAATGTAAAGCCAAAATGCTACTTGAGAAACATGGATAGCCTGTGACTGAATCCATTTTCTCCACAAGATGGCAGCAAGAACAAACAAAATTTGACCAGAGCTGTCTGTAAAGAAAAGCGCAAAAATAAAAAAAGAAGCAGGCTTGCTCAATTTTACTTTAGAAATGAATTTAATTTACAAAAAAAAAAAAAAAAAAAAAAAAAAAAAAAAAAAAAAAAACTATTGAAAGTGTTGATACATTTTGACTTAATATTTATTTGGGCTTTAGAATATCTGATGATATGTGTATGTTTGAACAGGTAAGGCAAAGACCAAGGAGGCACGGCAGACAATCATCAACCCGGACTGGAACTTTGAGAAAATGGGTATTGGAGGTCTGGACAAGGAATTCTCTGACATTTTCCGCAGAGCCTTCGCTTCCAGGGTGTTCCCTCCTGACATTGTGGATCAGATGGGTAAGACATCTATCACTATTATCTGTCACTTTTCACATCCGTAATATAGAAAAGATCTAAAAAAAAATATTAGTTAGATGCATGCTGGAAAATGCTGGAAAAATAATCATACATTTAGCAAAATTAGATGACCTCTTCCTTCTTCTTTCTTACATCCACACTACCTGACTCTTCCTTAATTTATTATGGGTATTTTTTGGTCACATATCTTCCTTTTTATAATCTGTTTCTAGTCTTTTCTTTTTGTTTACTGTGTTTTTTCTTCCTCCAGGCTGCAAGCACGTGAAGGGAATCCTGCTGTTTGGGCCACCAGGGTGTGGAAAAACCCTGATGGCCCGGCAGATCGGCAAGATGCTCAACGCCCGTGAGCCAAAGGTGGTTAACGGCCCGGAGATTCTCAATAAGTACGTGGGAGAGTCTGAAGCCAACATCCGCAAGCTGTTTGCCGAGGCAGAGGATGAGCAGAAGAGGGTGAGAGACTTTTCTGTCCTGTGACTTAAAGCAATAAATTCCAAGATGGTGAATATGCTGAACGATATGTTGATTGAAGACAGTGTAAATAGGGAAGTTTGGGTTGAAGAGGAATTTTTACATTTCTTTGGAGGTCTGAGACCATGGTTTTGAGTCTGAAAGGGTAGAGTGCCTTTTTTGTGTCGGGGAAGATTTCCTGCCCCAAGTGGGTCAGTATCTTGGGTTCTCCTTCATGAATGAGGGGAAAATGGAGCAGACGATTGATAGTTGAATTGGTGCTATGTCCTCAGAGATGTAGGCATTGTACCGATCTGTCCTGGTGAAGAGAGATCTGAGGTAAAAGGCGAAGCTCTTGATTTGCCAGTCAAAATATGTCCAAACCTTCATCTATGGTCATGAGCTTTGGGTCACGGATACAAATAAGCAAAATGAGTTTCCACCACAGGGGGTCTGTCTCAGAGACAGGGTGAGAAACTTGGTCATCTGGGTGGGACTCAGAGAGACTCAGAGTAGAGTCACTGCTTCTCCATGTCAAGAGGAGCCACTTGAGGTGATTCGGGCATCTGATTAGGATGGTTCCTGGATGCCTCCCTGGTGAGGTATTCCGGGCATGTCCCACAGAGAGGAAACTCGGAGGAAGACCAAGGAGACGCTCATCCAAGGAGAGGATCCCTCTGTCCTCTTCGGATTCCAACAGAGTAACTGGATGGAGGGACAGATGGAACAGAGAGGATGGTGTTTCTCCTCTAGAGAGCTGTAAATGTTTGTCTGGTGTCTGTTTAAAGCTGATCCTCTTTGAAAGAAACTTTTTACTTTTTGTCGATGAAGAGTTAAACTGCAGACTAATTCGGTCTGGTCATCGTTTTCTTCCAAGCCTTCTCATAGCTGGAGTCTGTCTGGTTACCAAGAGAATATCTTCCTGACTTGTGCTGCCAGTCAAAGGGAAACAGAGAGCTGGTCAGAGAGTTACAGGCAGAGTTGGGTCAGTGAGAGTTTTTCAGAGAGAAGTGGTTGGCAACAGCATCTTGGAGTCTTCACTCTTGGAAACATCTGAAACGAGCCTTTGTCCAACATAGGCGAGCGAGAGACGGTTACTAGGCTGCCTAGACCAAGATGTTGTATCTTTTCTCTAGTGAAACAAAGGGATTTCTCAATGGTACTTTTTAGGCTACAAATGCAAAAACATTTAAGAATAAAACTTAAAAAATAATAATAATTTTGTTTTCAGCTTGGTGCCAACAGCGGCCTGCACATCATCATCTTCGATGAGCTGGATGCTATCTGCAAGCAGAGAGGCACGGGCGCCAGCAGCACGGGTGTGCACGACACTGTGGTCAACCAGCTGCTGTCGAAAATTGATGGCGTGGAGCAACTTAACAACATCCTGGTTATTGGTAAGGACTGTGAACTCAGACAGAAGCCATGTTGTAGAGTTCTTACTATTGACAACACTTTTGCCTCTGCTCCTACATTAGTTTTCTGGTCTCCCAATGAATTCTTATTTTTTCCTGTGATTCCCTGACCCCTGATTTTCTGTGTGTGAAGGAATGACCAACAGACCCGACCTCATTGATGACGCTCTGATGAGGCCTGGCAGGTTTGAGGTGAAGATGGAAATCGGTGAGTTGATGTCTTTGCTTGACTGCCATTTTAATCTCTAGTTTTAGTTTATGAAGCGATTATTCCAGTGCACATACCATATGCACCATGAGAGGAGTGTTTTGTGGGTTTTCTGTTGGGGAGCATGTGCAAGATAAACACATATGGGCCAGAGACTTCTATCAACATGGGCCTAGTGTAAGAAGACCCAATAATTGGCTACAACAATCTTTTAAACCTCCCATTGGTACCCTGTAGGTAATTGACTTGAAGGGTATCGTTCCTGCACCTACTGCGTTTTGGTTTGATCTATAGGATTTTTGCAATAATTTTTCAGTGGTACCTTTAGAAAGACTATCAACCCAGGTTCAGTGGAGAGTTCAGTATGATATCAGTTTTAGTCTAGTTTTCTCTCATTGCCACTGCACCCGTCCTCTAGGTCTGCCTGATGAGAAGGGTCGCGTCCAGATCCTGAACATCCACACCAATAAGATGCGGAGCTTTAACCTGCTGGCTGCAGATGTTGACGTCAAAGAGCTGGCCGCAGAGACAAAAAACTACAGCGGCGCCGAGCTGGAGGGGCTCGTCCGGGCCGCACAGTCCACCGCCATGAACCGACATATCAAGGTCATCTGACTCTCTGGAACACTCAGCGCCTCAGCTTGAGGTGGATTCAGTTTCATTATCAGCCGTTACGGATGAGGACAAAGTCAATCACCAGCAGGAAGCAAATATTTCATGTTAGCATCTTTAGGCTAACTTAGTGTTAGGGGAGGAAATCTCATCAAACAGCATAGAATGAGGCTCTATTTTCACTGAAGCACTACAAATGTTTGCACACATTGTACAGTCAGCAGGCAGAAGCAGGTTAGAGTGACAGCAGGGATCAAACAAAATCAATAGGCTGCTACTACAAGGACCCAGGCCTGGTAGATGTGAGGGCCTGAAATCCTAACACCCAACGTATTTCTATTTGCTTTAAGTCAGTAGAAAAGTGAAGAGATCCTCAGAGAAATGAAAGGTTCTAATATCCTGACATGAGATCTCATTTCACCCTTAGTAGTAGGCATACATGATTTGTAAATCTGAAATGACAAAGTAGTTTAAAAAGTTACCTCATCAATGTGCCATTGGTTTATTGATCTTCTCCAGGCTACATCTACAGTTGAGGTGGACATGGAGCGGGCAGAGAAGCTGCAGGTCACCAGGGCTGACTTCATTGGATCCCTCAACAATGACATCAAACCCGTATGTAACACTCTAGGTTCCTGTCGCATAAAATCTCTGTGGTCCATCAACATGAAGCATGAGCGACACGGAGTTTCTCACCACCCCCAATGCTTTGTTTACAGGCTTTTGGCACAAACCAGGAGGATTACTCCAGCTACATCATGAATGGGATCATCAAATGGGGCGACCCCGTTACCCACGTCCTGGATGACGGAGAGCTGCTCGTCCAGCAGACCAAGAACAGCGACCGCACTCCTCTGGTGGCTGTACTCCTGGAGGGTAGACAAACTGTTCAACCAAATCCTTCCAAAGCAACAAGACTCGGACAGTAAAGTCTCCCACTTGTGTTTATGCCCACAGGTCCGCCCCACAGTGGGAAGACAGCCCTGGCAGCGCAGATTGCAGAGGACTCCCAGTTCCCCTTCATTAAGATCTGCTCTCCAGACAAGATGATTGGAAACTCTGAGATCTCCAAATGCCAGGCTATCAAAAAGGCAAGTCCTGCAGACGGTTTGTGGCTTCATAGTGAAACAATCACATGTTTATATTCACCTCCAGTCTTCTCTGTCTCTCCCAGGTCTTCGATGATGCATACAAGTCCCAGCTCAGCTGTGTGGTGGTGGATGACATCGAGCGCCTGCTGGACTACGTGCCTATTGGTCCTCGTTTCTCCAACCTTGTGCTGCAGGCTCTGCTAGTGCTGCTTAAAAAACCTCCACCCAAGGTGAGAGAGCTTCTGAAGCCTGCAGACATTCATGTTGAACACTGAAAAATACACTCAATATAATCCTCAGTTATCAGCAGAAAGACTTGTGACTTCACCGTATTCAACCATGCAAATCAGATTTTTATTTAAACAAGAAAATCAAACTATTCTTCTACTTCCACTTCACAATTGAGTAAGACATAAGACATACAATTTGTTTATTTGTTATTCAAATAAACAATTTCATTATGTTTCTAGAACATAATGAAATTGTAGTGGTAGATCAATAAATAATGTCTCAATCAGTCCTTAGGGTGCAGTGGTGGTCGATCAGCTAGATACTAAAACTAAAGTGAAAATATTGAAATTAAGTTTGACAAATTTGCAGAGCTGAAACGATTAATCTGATTAATCAACCATTGAAATAATCGTCAACTAATTTAGTTATCGATTAATTGTTAAATACAGAAAAGGACAACTGCTGAAAGAACAGCATACTCAGTAATTACCACAAAACTGTACAAAAAGTAAATATGGTTTGTATTAAAAATAAAAAAAACTTTGTAAACATATTCTATGTGTTTTGGCTTCACCTGTTATTCTTTTGTTATCCATTAATGAATCTGTTAATCCGAAAAATACCAACAACATTGATATTATTAACTGTTGCTGTTATATCAAACAGAAAAGGGACGAGATTTTCTCATGTTGGTGTTAGAAGTATTTTTTGTTACAAATGATCAAATGTACACTAAAGAAATCCTCTTATTGCATTTAGGCAATAAAATATTTATTTTCTTTGAAAAGTAAATTAATTTTTATTTGTATGTTTTAATGCATTTCTAATATTATATTAAACAGGCATAAGCAGATAAATTTAAAAAAGATGTAGAATTGGACATTTTTTAAATCCGATTAATCTATTAATCATCAGAATGATCTATAGCATAATCACTAAAATGTAGTTGTTCATTGCAGCCCTAAAAAATGTAGGGCCTTTAAAAGATTCCCTGAAGAGATTGGACCCTGCAAAGGGCAGAGTGCTGGGGTGCCAGGATCGGGTTTGTAGAATTTTGGTCTTTATGCCAGGATTTGCTTCCTCAGCAAGAACACAAATAAAACACTGTCAAATCTGTTGAAATTAATTTTCAGAAATATATATATTTTTAAAAGCATTATCATATATTTTCAAAATAATCTGTATGTTCTATACTGCATATTAATTTTCTAAGTATAAAAAAATGTTTTATCTTAACAATACCATCAACAGCAATTTTGCATGAAAATATGAGCAGATGTCATCCGGCATTTGAACATGAATGGAGGGTTTTATCCTGCGGTGCAATCAGAGACGGATGAAACGGCGTCATGTGTTGGTTGTGCAGGGCAGGAAGCTGCTCATCATCGGCACCACCAGCAGGAAGGACGTCCTGCAGGAGATGGAGATGCTGGACGCCTTCAGCACCACCATCCATGTCCCCAACATCTCCACTGGGGAGCAGCTGGTGGACGCCTTAGAGGTACAGCACAGAAAGAAAGATCCTGAAGGGTCTACACTTTCTCAACGATGAATAAAAGATGCTTATTTTAGCTTCTTTGCTCAAAGGCACAAAGTCAGTTTTGACATTTTCCTTATTTTTTTAACCAGGATCTCAAGCTACTTTAAGAATGTTTTTCATGTCATCAGTGTTGTTATGAGAACATGTCTTTCTCCCTGTGGGTGGAGGGTTGGAGCGTGACACTGAATATCTCCATAAATCTCCTTTTGGCCCTCGCAGCTGCTTGGAAGCTTCACGGATAAAGAGCGGGCCAGCATCGGCCAGCAGCTGAGAGGGAAGCGGGTCTGGATCGGCATCAAGAAGCTGCTGGTGCTCATAGAGATGTCGCTGCAGGTACGAAGCCTCAGGTCACAGGCAGAAAATCGAATAAGATCTAGCAGAGTTTGAAGTCAGGAAGAGCAATGTTTCTGCAAGCTCTTAACAAATTAGACTTTTTTTTATTTCAGAAACAAATTTTTAATATTGAATATTAAATGAAGTTTAGCTACGTCTTACATGTTCAACCAAATGCTTCTTTTCATCATTAAATAATTGCCTTTTGAATAATGTTCTGGTAATAATGTTTCTAATCTGAGATGTAGGGAATCATAGCCATACTTTGGAATGTTTTTCATGTCACTGCGGTTCTTATAGCAGATATTTGTTATGTTTTATGTTGCTTCTCAACCCATTTATTTCTCCTTTTGCCTCCCTCTCTGTCTGCAGATGGATCCAGATTACAGAGTGATCAAATTCATGACTCTGCTTAGAGACGAGGGAGCGTAAGTATAATCACTATTTTAAGAGGCGGTAGCAGCCTCCATCAGCTGATGAACTCATCCTGTGTCGTCGTCATCCTCCCTCCTTTAAAGCAGGGTGTCCAAGGTGCGGCACGGGGGCCGTTTGTGGCCCTCTGAGGGGCTTGGGGCGACCTGAGTTCTAAAATTGAGCAAATCTGGCCTGAAGTCATAGTTGGTTGATCCAGATGGACACTTTTTCATCTGTTAAGGGATTTTTTTTTTTTTTACTGACTGCTATTTTTTAAATAGCAGTCAGTAACAGAAAAACTGTTTCTTACAGTTTTTGTATTAATCTGAATTTTGGAGTAACAAAAATCAGTTATTGACCTGCTTTTACTCAAAATCAAACCTTGCAGCCCAAATAAGAGAACATAGAAACTGTGACTGTCTTTTACTAAACCTTTTTTTATGTTTTGTTTCTTTAACGGTTTACTGATCCATTTTCCTTAAAAATCCAACTAGGCTGTTAATATCAAATAGTTCTTTTTTTGGTTTATTATTGAGTAGATCAAATGAAAAAAAGGCACAAAAAGTTTTAAAAATTATGTAAAATATGACATTTTTGAGGCCCTGTGTGCTTTCAAACTTTTGTCATAAAGTTTGGACACCCCTTCTTTGACATGTCTCTTCTTTCAATTTTCTTAGTTTGCACTCAGTTAAACCCTAAAGGAGAACTTATTGCTCCATAACAAATCCAACAGGCAGGAATTTAGACTGAACACTAACTAACCTCAGTGACTTTATTTTGCAATCACCAGGTTGAATGAAGGCGATCAAATCCGAATTTAAGCTGTCGGTCACTCTTTCCTGGTAAGACCAACAGCTAGATCTAGAGCTAGTAGATTCTGTAGTTGGCTAGTTAGAGTAGCGATTAGATTTTGGGTCTTTTGCTAACAGAGTGAGTCGTACTTCGATCACAAAGTAACTGAAATGAGAAAACCAGCTGATGTGAGAATCATTAGCACTTTGCTAGCATAATTTAAGTTGGACATTTGTTTCTAGCTACAGCATGCTAACATTAGCTAACACTACACTTTATAAAGTGCTGCTGATTTGTTTTGTAAAAGACAAAGTTGCCTTAGAATCACTTAATTTTGGCTATATGCTGCCATTTTCATAAATACACAAATACATTTCACTTTAAAGGCAACTTGAGTTTGTTCAATCTTTTCTCGATTATAACAATGTATCTTTGCAATGAATCTCTACAACAACAACAAAAATCAACAACCAAAATAAAATTCCATTGTTTTTGTTTTAAGTATATGTCAACTTCATGGACCATAATATTTCACACTGCTATGGATATTTCACCAAATAAACATTTCCTGTTTGCTCTGCTTACCTATGGAATAGCTGTTAGAACAGAGGTGTACTGGAGGGTGATTGACAGCGCTAAGACCCTCCTCCTGACTCTGATTGGTTGTTTCTGGCTGAGCAGTGCATTTCTGCAGTATGTGACGGGAAAACACATAATGCTGCCCCTTTTAGAACGATGTTGTGATACGCATATTGATGACTGAGTTATTCTTATTTTGAGCTCTTTGTCTTTCCGTTCTCCTCCCAACATCTCATCTGTGCACATATTTTGTTGTATTTTTTCTCAAAGGTGTCGGTGAGCTTCTCTGAACTTTCAGAATGAACAAAACAAACCTTGCCTTCTTTTTCTAATTCCTTCCTTTCTGTAGTGATCGCAGCTTGTAAGAGCAGAGGGAGCAAGTGGAGCTGAGGAGACTTTCATTTTCTGCAAAACCATAAACATGAACCAACGTGACAGGAGAAAACTGATCCCTGGTCTAACGCCTCTACCCCTCCGCATGTCCAACCGAGAAAACGTCTCCGTGTCTCCTTCCCTCACGCTCACCGACGTCACTAACGGCACTTATATCAACATGTTGCAGCCAACTATTGGAAGTTGTAATGTGAAACTGTTCTCTGTAAAGGAACTTGCAATAGATGATTGTGGAGAAAATAAAAAAGGTGTTGTTTTGTGCATTGTGCGTAAAAAAAATACAAAAAAAAGAGGAGGCGGCGCTTTTAGCTCTACTCTCTGTTGTATTTGTTGCCTCCTTCTCATCCCGCTGACGGTAGTTATTGTCTTTTGTCCTCATGAGCCGTGAAAAACGAAACGCTGACTCTAGTACTGAGGCCGTTTGGCTGCTGAGCACATGAGAGGCTTTTAGTGATTTAGGTGTGGCTGTACAAAGACGCTGTTTCGTGTGTAAATGTAATCCCTTTAAAGACACAGTATGACATTGTTCTGTAAATAGTATATATATATATAAAGAGAGGAAAAAACAGTATATGAACAGATTATTGATATTTCCTAGTATATCAGTATGATCTTCCTTGCTGTGGAGAGGTTGAGTTGATTTTAGTGTAGAAATAAAATCACGTAACGGATCGTTGGCCGCTCCGCCTGTACGCAGTGATGTTCCGTTCGTTGTGGGGAACCCCATGCTGCATGTGCATAGTGTGGGTATGAATGGTTGATTAAGGTTTATTCAAATGCAATTATGTATGTGTGTGTGTGTGTGTGTGAAATAACTGTGTACACCCCCCCGAAAAAAGACAGCTGGCTATCATTTTGTATTTTTTGTTGCTTAAGCCATGTGTTCAGTGATCAAATAAGAAAAAAGAAATCTAAACTTACTGTTCTGTTCAGACCATTGGCGGTGTGTGTATGTGTGTGAATAAATGTTAATGTGCAGATGTATTATTGCAATAAAAAGCACATGCACAGCAAAACAGAGCGATGGTGTGTTGTGTGTCTGGCTTCTTTTGTTGATGAACAGGATGAAATGATAGACAGACAAATGTTCTTCTCCAAGCGCTCATGACAAGCTGCAAGCCGCACTGAAAAGCTCTGGAGGAGTTTCTTAAAGTTGAACATGTATGAAAAGTGCCCAAAAATGAACACGTTGACCCAAAATGGCCGACTTCCTGTTGAGTTTAAGGCATAACTCCAAGAGACCTTTTTTTTCTTGTTTTACAGAGTGATACCGATGTACCAAATTTCAGCTTTGCACAACTTGTCTGTGGGCCTACCTCACGTTAGGGGGCGCTGTAGAGCAGTTAGCCACGCCCATTTTTAAATCCACGTAAATATTCAAATTTCATACAGGGGACAAGTTTTATAAAGATTAATACGTTTTTGTAGCGTTTTTGTAGCTCAACTGGGGGTTCTTTTGTCTTGGCCTAATAGCACAACACTAACAGCAGCTTTTAATTTATAGACTAACATAACCTGAGAAAATACAAAATGCTGTTTTAAACTGATTGCTTCATTAATTAGGGGACAAAAAGGGTTTCTAACCTGATCTCATTTGGAAAAATAATCTCCCCTCATGAAAGGGGCAGTATTATGCAAAATGTACTTTTTTGAGCTTTACATCATGTTATAATGTTATTGCCTCATTAAAAAGAAGTAAAAAAAAAAAAAAAAACATGTACCTACAGTGTTGTTTTGATTCTTTTGTGCATGTATGATAAATCTTCTAATCTCCCATGGCAACCATTCAGCTCTGAAAACCACCTGGGTGGAGCTAGCTCCGCCTTTGAGATGCTGTTTTTTTCTTGAAGCTACAGTTTCAGAGTTTCTGTGTTTCCGCCTCACAGAGCAGCTCCTTCAGACTAGCCAGCAGCAATTAGCAAACACCTGTTGGAACTGAGAATCTGCTGAGGTCATTATAGCAGCTACTTCACAGTGAAGTGCTGGTAAGAACATTGTAGTTATGACAACTTCCTGAAGGCAGAGTTTCAGAAAGAGCAGGAGTTCTTAAAGAGACAGAGGCCCAATTTCAAGAAATTAAATTACAAACTCAAATTTCTTTTAAATCATATTTAATATAAATAGCATTTTTATGAGAAGTGAAGATTACTTAGTGTGGTGATTTTACAAGTCACACATTTAAGAGTGTGATTTAAATTAATGCTATTTCATATAATCCACTGTAACTCATTTCAGAATTTTGCTCCTGTTGTCCCTGTAAGCATCAGGTGTCTATCTGATCCTCTCTAGCATCACGAGACCCTCTGAAGGAAATGTTTTCAGCAATTTAGACGACAAAGCTCACAATTTATTGTAATAATGAAGAGGGAAAAAATACAAATGTCTCTGGAATAAAGTCAAAGAAGCAGAACAAAAGCCAGTTGTTGTTCTAATCTAGATCTAAAGAATTCAAAACAGCATAACTTCTAAGTTGATGTTAGTTTCAGTTTCTTCATAGGATCACAATGAAAACAATAGAAGTGAGTTCATTTCACTTCAATATCAACTGAAGAATGATTGTTCTGCAGATCAGTGGAAGAAAATCAGAACATCCAAATACATCAATACACATATTAAAGCAAAAATAATTGAACCCCAGAGAAGATGAGATTTTCTGGTGGAGAAATATTTCATATAAGAATAAAAGAAAACATCAGCAGAGATCATTAATGGTTCCTGGAACACAGAGACTGAGAACTACATTTAAACCAGAGAAATAAAGGAGAACAGAACAGCAGAACCATGAAGCCTGATCAGCAATCAGAGAGAAGAGAGGAAATCTAGTTGGGTTTTATGAACTCTGCAGAGGATCCAAACCCAAAAATACTCCCAACCCAAACTCCAGCCAGCAGCGGCTGAGTGAATGTGGTCTGGACTCTGTGGAGGAGAATGAATTAATGGAGGAAGAAGAGAGTCTGGTTGTTATGTTTTAATTGGTAATGAAGCAACAGCAGTAAGTAATGAAGATGCAACAATGTTAGAGCAAATATTTTCTAAAATTCATAGTGAAAACAAAATTAGTGAAAAGTAGAGAAAATGTAGAGTAGCAACCTTATTAGAAAATCAGGAAATAATAAAACAAGAACAAGGTAATGTAAAGACCTTACTTGAGGAAAGTCAAATGTTATATAGTGATAAGTGAACTTAGTGAATATCAAAGTTAATCTTATTTGATTTGTATAATAAAGTATGGAAATGTGAAATGTTAAGCTGGATAGAGACTGCAGTAGTACCAATACCAAAACCCAGAAAAGATTGCTTAAAGCCACTAACACAACATGCCTTTTTTCTTTATACATTGTTAATTTTATCCTTTATTTTATTTCCTCTACAGTTTATATATTGACACTTAATCTCTATACGCTGTGATTGCTTGAAACAGGAGGCGAATCGCTTGTCTAAACAAGACACAATCTTGTCTAATAAAGCTGATTCTGATTCAAAAGTTATATTCAGATATAGTTTTAATATATTTTAGTTCGCCTTCCAACAAACCAATCAGTGGAATAAATGGTAGTTTATCCACTGTGGTCACTTTTGACGTTAAACACAGAAGGTCATTAGCATACTAACTGTAGAGTTGAATGTCATGAAAAGAGCTTGTTTGGCTTGACTGTTTATTATGTAACCCCCATGGCGGCAGTGTTCCAGTCTTGCCAGTAGAGGGTGCTGCAGAGCCTAGTCAGGCATCATCCCCGCTTCCAGCTGACCCGCATTCACCAGCGCTGTACAGACACGGGACAGGACCCGAGCGCGGCGAACTAGTCAACAACACCGTGGAGTTTCCTCCCCCACGTACACCGTGACCGTGAAATTCTGGCAGTCCCGGGGTGGCAGGTCGCTGCTGTCGCCTGTTTTCGCTCTTGACAGCGCGTTGAAAGAGGAAGCAGTCTCCCCCAGGAGCTTCAGGCGAACCGGCTGAAGCTGACCGGAATTACACTGTAGCGTTCATTTGTTTCTCTTTTCTTTAATTTGCCGCTCCCGGTGACATGTTTTATGTCGACTCTGCTGGAGGTGCTTTTCTATCCGGAGTGGACTACAGCGCTACAAAGTGACCCGGAGAAAGAGACAGAGGCGCCTCGCAGTCAGTCACGGTGGTGCAAGGTGAGTGGTGTCTTCACGTCAACCCCCCGGCCTGCTCACTGTACTTCTGCCCGCAGATTAACGCGGACTATGTCGGCTTTCTATGAAACGTCAACGTTCACTTTAACCTCTGTCGAGACTTTTGTGTCTGTCATTATGCTGCATTACCTGACAGCCGGAGCCACAAACTTGCTAACCTACATTCTCCGTTAATGGGTCAGGGCAGTGACGTTAGGGGCACGGTGCCAGCATATAGACCGGGAGGAATGCGGATGTTTCTGGGTGTTCTGTTCGCACTCGTGGGCTTTCGTCTATGTAGCAAGAGCTCACGTAGTTCAGCTCCTACACATCCAACTGGTTGCTCTTGAAAAGCTACTGGAGACTCAATAGGGAACGTTTCTGTTTCAGAGCCGCGGCGATACCAAGGGGGGAAGAGAGGGGGCGGGATGTCCACCTCTATTAGTTTGCTGACCACCTCACTGCTGCCTGGGTGGTTAATATAAAAAAATATTCTACCTTGGAATATTTTATTATCGTTTATACTTGAAAGATTGAGAATAGCACATTTAATAACGACAAAGAAACTTGTCTGTAGAACATAACTCCATTTTATTAAATTTCCTAATTATGGATTCCGCCCAGTCTGTAAGAATGCAGTTTGAGAAGCTGGAAATATTTAGTTGCAACATTAACAGATGTGCTATTAGCTGGCGTTTGCAAAGCAACCAATCGAGGAGTGCCATTCATTATCACTAGTCATTAATTAGCTTTACCCCTAAGAGCAGAGATAAGGAGGATTGTAAATTATTAACTTCTATGTGGTAGAAGTTAATCTACCAAATAGAAGAAACTGTCTTGTCAAGACAGTTTCTATCACATATTAGTGCATATTTGGCATTTGAACTATTGAAATAGGCAGTTCTATGTGTTTTGAGAGCTCAAGTAATTGTGACTTTCAGGTATCTGTGGGTGGTTGTGGTGCCTGACCACAGTGATATCAACAACCAAACGGCATGCTATGCTAGTTGTAAGAATTTGTTCCTATAAAAATGTTTGCTATTTTCTCTACATTTTGTTAAATAAGGGCATCAACAAACATATGTATTAGCTAATTAGAAGATATGATTAAATGTCATGATTGTGTTCAGCTTAATGATATAAATCGTTCTTTTTTTAAAGTAAGAAGTTTTGAAGAAGGAAGAAGCTTATTTCTACAATAGCTTATCGAAGCCATTGTACATTGAGGACTGACATAAATTTTAATCAGAGATATTTAACGGAAATTTACTCCTCCCCTTTTCTTTTCTGTCTATCATGCCCCTAAAATGCAGTCGTACATTTCAGATTAGATTGTTTTTCGAGAACAATATTTGTGCTTGCGGCACTGTGAATGCTGTGCCATGCATCACTGTCCTAAAAGACTATTTATTAGTTAAAAAATATTTTTAATCACAATCTGTCATTATCACAATAGCACCACAAATATCACAACAAAATTCCATGTCTACAACACAGGGCTGCACAGTGGCGCAGTTGGTAGAGTGGTTGCCTTGCCGCAAGAAGGTTCTGGGTTCAATTCCCAGCCCCAGTCTTTCAGCGTGGAGTTTGCATGTTCTCCCTGTGCATCCGTGGGTTTTCTCTGGGTACTCTGGTTTCCTCCCACAGTCCAAAAACATGACTGTCAGGTTGGTCTGTCTAAGTTGTCCCTAGGTGTGAATGTGTGTGCACATGGTTGTTTGTTCTGTCTGTCTCTGTGTTGACCTGTGACAGACTGGCAACCTGTCCAGGGTGACCCTGCTTCTCACCCGGAACATTAGCTGGAGAGGCACCAGCACCTCTCCATCCTTTTTCTTACACCCTTGTGCAAGAAAATGGTCTGATGGATGTCTACTACATAAACTCACATTGTTAAATCACATTGTTTTTGATCGCTTTTTTTTTTTGGAAACTTCATTTTTGATTCTGAGCTGTATACATAATTTATGAGAATAGAGTGGTGGTAGAGTAATGATCTGGGCCTGTTTTGCTCTTAAGGACCTGGATGATGAAGATTGGAGCTATGAAATGTGAAGTTTTGTTTCTTCTGAAACATTTAAGTGTGACAAAGAAGCATTAACTGTAAAAAAAAACTGATGCCTTTGCTTAGATACAACAGATATTGTGCCTGCAGGTTTCGCTGATGTAGTTTTACACTTGCTTATATTCAGGCTGTGGAGCTTTAAAGGAATGTAACTCGTATTGGGTTGTGTAGTTTTAATAGTGACTGTTGAGCTGGAATCCATAAAAGTTCCTGTTTCACTCTGCACACACATTGTACACACAATGTCGACACAATACCTGGATCTTGGTGTGTTGGAGCTGTCTGTAGCAGGATGTTAGCAGGGTCTTAGCAGGATGTTAGCGTGCATCTTGCCTGGTCTGCTGTCACACCACATTTCATCCGTCAGCACGTCTCCCAGCAGGCTCAGGAAGACAGCGATGTTGCTGGAACAAGGACCACTTTCATAGTTAAGAAAATTGATGCTGATCTATCAGTGAAACTCTGTATTTTTTATGTGATGTTCTTAATGTTTACCATTGAGATGCTATTTTAGTCTTGAATAGCTTCACTGATGCATGATGTCTGGATGCTGTTTTATGGGAGCAGACCCTCATTCACCAGAGTCTGCTATAAAACATGAAAACTTTATACAAACTGCTGTGGAGTCAATAAGACCATCAACTGATTCTCCTTTAATTTAAGTCACACAGAAAAAGAAAAAAAAAATCACTTTCTAAACTATTTCAAACTTCTTTAAGCAAACTCTCAGTGTGACTTTACGTGGTCCACTGACGTCCACTTCAGCACCGGACAGCTCCTAAAAGCGGCACACCTCAGGGAGCTGACTCGCATATCCAACACAATGTTAGGAAAAATATTAGGACAATCACTGTAACACATCAATAATATGCCTGCAGTTGGATGGACTCTCATAGTGATGTATGAATTTAGTCTGAGATGTTAAAACTCACAGAAGGAAGTGAGGACAGTCTTTAATGGTGAAAAGAAACAAAAAAAGCATCTGTAATACAACAATACCTTAAAAAAAACTTTTCCAAGCTTTTTTCTCACTAGACTACATTTTTTTCTCTAATTTTAAGACATTCTTATGGTAAAATCACATCTTTATTCTGTCAATATTACAACTTTGTCCTCATTGTTTGACAAAAATTCTCATAGCCCGGCACTAATACTCCGTTGTACAACTCTCAGAATGGATGAATGAAATAAAAATATTTGTGACAATATTTCCTGTCATTTGTATTTTTGTTTTTATATAAGAAAGTGAGAAAAATTTGATTAAAATTAGATCTGGTATGAAAAAAAAATCATAGATTTTATTTCTAACCCATATTGCCCATCCCTAATTTATTGTGATAACAATCTTTTTTCCCCAAATCTCAGAGCTCCTAGATTTGGTATTATAACTTGGTATTCTGCAGCAGTGTTTATTATATTATCTGAGCAAAAGTTCCAAACAGTGCAGATAATTGTTTCTACCATGCAGAACTAACCAGAAACATATTTAAAAGTGAGCCTTGAATGAATCAATAACGGATGTACGCACGTGGAAACGTAGCGTCCATGTGACGCTGTCTCATGTAGACCAACCTGCGAGCTGCCAGCAGCTACACATGACCTCTCATGTCCTCCCCCTCCCTCTTTTCCCCTGAGGCTAAAAGCTGCCCTCTCCCTCTGCCTCTGCATGTTTCTATATGTGTGTGATGTTACATAAGCAGAGCGCAGAGCGTCGAGGCCCCCGGGTCCCACTGTCTGCTTCCCTCATCCACATGCAGACAGACTCTAATCTGATGAATTGTCCTCATTTCGTTTGTAGCGTTAGCAAACGCCACAGAAGGCTGATAGACATATTTTTATTTTAGTTTTTCAATTCAACAGCATCCCGGCTAGCTAGTTAAATTAGCCGTTGCTGTGTAATGGCCTGGATACGGTTCCAGATACTATCGAGCTGCGTTGTAACAGAGCTGCTCTGCTTCAGCAGCAGTAGTAGTAGCTGTGCTGTTCAGTCTCTTTGTCTCCTTCACAAACTGCTTTATTTATCAGTGTTTCCTTCTGTGTGCCAGACAAACGGAGTGTGATTACACAAGCCTGAGAGCTAAAATAAACACGCCGCCACCGAGGCGAAAAGTCGTGAAGATGAAAATAGATGCAACGATAAGGTGCAGACCTGGTTGGGTTAGAGCTGTCTGTATTAGAAACACCAGCCAGTCTATAGAGTGACTTATATTCTATTACTATTGGCCTATTGACTTGGGTGAATGAAGTAGTAATTTTATGAGTAGGCTTGTTGCAATAAATAATAAATCAGTTGTTGATTTGATAATTAAAATAAGTAACACATCAATAATATGCCTGCATTAATTTGCATGATTTATTATTTTTTTTTCTTTTCTCTCTTTCTTTCTACCAAAGCTGCTCTCCAGTCTGGTGTTTTGGTCCAGCTTTGTTTACAGAGACGTCATAGTTAAACAGTCTCAAAATAACACTGGGACAATTTATCGTCCAGCAAAATGTGTTATCATGACAGGCATATGTATAAGAATACTAACATGAAAAATAACAATAAATTAGTTATCCACATTGTTTTCAAATAAATAACTTTTTTTATTATAATTTTTTTAAATAGTAGACCAATATAAAAATAGACCACTGTAAGTTGTTTTTTTAAACAACTTATATTCTCTTATAACATTGACTTATATTACATTCATGTCTTTTGAAATTGTTTACATTTTTTCTTGTTACAGCCACAAACTCCTATATACGTCATTGGGGTTTTATATGACAGAAACCTTCAAAAACATATTGAAGTTTTCAGTTGTAAAGGGAGAAAGTATAGAAAAAGACTTATGATTACTTTATAAAAACTGCCTGTCCAGCCTTTATGCTGACCCTCGTCGACGCTTCAATGTTTTAAACATTGAAGGGTTGATAAATAAATCCAGTTTATTTATCAAGAAGGAAATTCAATCTGATGTTATAAAGATTAGACTGCTGTAAATTATAAAACCAAGTTGGACTCTTGAGCAGCTTTTTCAGTCTCACTCACTCCTTGAAGCCTGAGCGATTCGCTGTCTGACAGATGTGTGTTACTGCTGCTGACATCACGGCTACTTCAGCTCCTGCAGAAGCTCATTGGCAGCTTCTCTCTCTTCCTCCTGTGAGCCATCAAAGTTTGGTTTCAGTTCAGGAGAGTGTGCAGCAGAACCTGCAGTAAATTTTGTCCCAATCTGTCAAACACTGTCTACACATTTGTTACTGTTATCTGTTACTTAAAGTATACATTGTTCATAACAACCCCAGAGCTTTGGTGAGACAAATTAACTCTTAAACAATCGTTCCTTTTAATCAGAACCTGATAGAAGTGCAATCTTCTAGCTTTCCTTGATTATGTAGCGTGCTGAAAAGAAACTGGCCCTGCTACACGCAATATCTGACTACAGGACTCCAAGTAGGACATAAATGTGTAGTTAAAGGAAGGTGATATTGATTGGTCTTCATGAATAATCAGAACAAAGAGACCTGAATACAAGTGGTGCAGATATTTCTATTACAAAAAAAAACAAAAAAACTTCACACTTATTCACTGCTTTGCATGACAAAGTATCAGGGGCACTTGGAGGGAAAAAAAGTCAATTTTTGTTGCTCACCAGTTTTAAGATTTAAAAACAAGAAGTCACAAATCTAGAAACCGTAGATCAACAAAAGTGTCAATATGACGAGAAAAGTGTTGAAAAGATGAGTAAAATGTCAGTATCCTTCATGATATATCACCTTCAGTCTCAATGTTTGGAATTCAGTCACAAAATGGAATTTCAACTTTTTTTTCTTCAACATCAGAATGTACTTGAAATCTTATTTTCTTGTTCTTTGTATTTCAACTTTAATCTGAAATGGAAATTTACTATTAATTTTTTAAGTGAGCCCAACATTCCTTAGTAAGTTTGAAGGCTTGAAGCTCAGGAACAAAGTACGGTGTGGAAGCAACGGGCTTTGTAGGAGTTTTGCTGCAGGAGGGACTGGTGCACCTACCTGAATGGAATCATGAGGGAAGAAAGTTATGTGGAAATATGGAAGTGACATTAGTGAGTTCAGGCAAAAATAGGTCTTCTTAGCCACAATCATAAAACCAAATTATTGTGAGAAGCTCGTCTGACTCAAGTTCCACAATTTAAAAGGAAATTGAACCAAACTTTAAGGAAATCTATGATTTTACCAGATTTAATTAATGACAATAAGATGAAAACATTTGTGGCTTTTTTAAATGTACATAAATATCCGGTTTCAACTTCATATTGTAGATTATTTAGCCCCCAAAGATTGCATCTTTAATTACAACTAAGAATTAAAAAAGATGATTTTACAAATAAGGTATGAAAAAATCCAAAGACTTAGACTTGTGATTCAGCCGCCTATAATTTAAACTTCACCTTCTTGATCACCTTTTGTTCCTCCACTGAGGTTTTGCATTTGCAAAAATAATAATAATAATAATAATAATAATAATAATAAAATAACAGAAAGCAGAAAGTCTACTGTGGTTGGCAGCACACAGTAAAGTGTTTAAGACATCTAAATAATCGCTTTACAGCCATAAACAGGTTTTTGTCTTATCTGTAAACACAAAATACCCACCTACTTTTAATCTTCATTGCTCGCCCTTCTAAAACTTTTATCTTTTTTTTCTGTCTATCCTTCATATTCTTATCTGATGGTTATGCATCTGTTTTTATGTCCCTGGACAATCTGGCCAACTTTCTGTTCTCCTGTCTCTTGTTATCTGGGCTGAGTGGCTGGTCATTATGCAACAGCCTTCCAGGTTATGGAGGACTGATCCTGCCAAAATGTGCAGTAGATACACACACACACACACACACACACACACACACACACACACACACACACACACACACACACACACATATATATATATATATATATATATATATATATATATATATATAAACTTTCCCAATTAATCTTATTATACAATGTGAATAAATTCATAAATTATTTGCTTAGCATTTTCAACAGTATAAATGTTTGATTCATTTAATTTGTTAAACAAAAAATCTATCCAAACCAACCTGGGTCTATGTGCAAATAAAATTTCCCCTTTGATTTTCTGAACTACTTAGACACCGTTTCTCTAATGTCTGACCATGGCTCATTGTTTTGTTTTTTTCTGTTTTTAATAATTTCAGCATAATTTTACCCTACATTCATTTTACTTAAGGAACTATTTCTTTCTTTCTGTTCCTCATTTTGCAAATAAAATGCTGACTCGTAACAGGACAGCTGTTATTCTTTTGCGTATGTTGTGCCTAAGATCACAATTGGCAATATTTTTCTCTTTTCATGTCAAAATGTATAAATAATATTTGTGATCATCTTTACATACTATAATTTGTGGCTGAAATACCTGTCAGCTCTGTCCAATAGCAACAACTACTAGTAATCTCTAATTCATCTTCAGTCTTTTTTTTCCACTGCTCTGTTCTTTGATGTATCAAAATCTCACAATGATAAAAGCTGTGTTTTGTTACTTAATATTTAGAACAGTCAGATTCAGATGCCAACAACAACCAGTTCTTTTAGTTTAAGCTCGGTATCTTCCAGTTTCAGTCTGCACTGCTTCTGTCAGTGTAAGTAGGAGGGAATGGAAGTCCTGCCGCCTTCTTCCAGACTGATGCATATTACATGGAACGACACTTCCCTCGTTCACTCTCATGTCTCCAGTTGGCTTCCTGTATTGCATTAGTCTGAGAGTCATTTTCATTTGTGGTTTCATTTTTCTGGTTGACTGGACCCCTGCTGGTGCCTCAGAAGCTCCACTAACAGCAGCAGCTAAAATTTGACTGGATGCAGTTTAAGTTGACGACAAACTTGCCACTGGTGTTTGGTTTTGGTGAGTCTAACATTTAGGTGCTGTTCCTGGTTTGTGTGAGAGAAGATTTCTGAAAGTGTTGTCATATTTAGCATGTTTTACTAGCAAGGCAGTTCAAAGTGCTTTACATCATAAAAAACATCATGCAGTCATCAGTCATATTACAAGCATTAAACATTACGTTTGGTCAAATGCCATCATTAAGTCACATCAAGTCTGTTGATTAATGTTCCAGTTATTATGAATCAGAGGCTTAAAGAAGTTCAGTGTTTCAGCTGTTTTACAGTTTTCTGGAAGTTTGTTCCAGATTTGTAGTGCATAGAAGCTGAATGCTGCTTCTCCATATTTAGTTCTGGTTCTGGAGATGTAGAGCAGAACCAGAACCAGAAGACCTGAGAGGTCTGGAAGGTTGATACAATGACAACATGTCCTTAATGTATTGTGGTGCTAAGTCGTTCAGTGATTTATAACCACAACAATATTTTAAAGTCTGTTCTCTGAGCTACAGGTACTGTAAGATGATACAAGCTGTTTTAAAGTTCATATTCTCCAGGTTAACATTTGTAGGTGACATGCCAACCAGAGACTGCTCTGGTCGGATGAAACCAAAATTGAGTTTTTACTTATGCACAAATCTACGGGGCAACATGGTTGTGGCTGCATCATGCTGTGGGACTGCTTTTCTTCAGTAGGGGGAGGGAAGATGGGTGGAGCCAAATACATCAGCATTTGGTTTTAACTTGTCTGAAGTTGCAACGAATTGCAATCACTGTGTGAAACGGTCTAGAGATGAGATGCAGGGAGATTAACTGGGCAGTTTAGTCTTTGGGTGTGTTCCCCACATCTGTGGATCTACTTCTGTGTGTTCAAGTACAGATGGGTGATAACAGGATTACACCAGAGCAACTTTGCATGCTAAACAAGTCCGACAGCTTCTATTCCACAATAAAGTCTTCACATTTGTTTGACATTTTATACATGTGCACGCTCTCTACCTGACACAATGCATATTTGCATTCTGTTTTGTGTTTCATTATGTATCACGTTTCTAAAGTCCTGCTGTTGCTTCACTTTGAACTACCGAGATTACCGTGAGCCTTTTACAAGATTATCCTAAAGATAAAGGGAAGTATACGTTATGGTAATGATTTCAATTGCTTGCTTCTTTGTCACAACCAGATGTTTCAGATCATTATAGAAATTTATACATATTACTACAAGGCCATGTTTTGAGACTTCTGAATATGGCACTTTGCCTGCTGGTGCAGGAATACAAAAATGACTGAATACAAAAGTTAGATGGTGTCAAAAAAAATAGATGTTGGGAGACTCTTTAGCCTACCGAAGCTTCAGTCATAGCAAGGATTTCCTTCTTTTGAATCTTGCTGGTGTTAATGTTATTGCCATTTGTTGGACAAGGGGATGTATTCCTACGTTTTTAACTTGAATCTCATTGACCATATTTACAATAAGTTAGGTTAGGGTGTAGCAGATTGGGGTTAGAGTACTATAAGCACTACAACTCTTGCAAACTCTTACCATGCTCTTAAAAATTACATAAACAACCCATCTGTTTCTTTGAAGCTCTTCTGATTATTTCCTTGTTTTATCTTCCACAGGTGGACATCCTGAGACAACCAATCAGTTCTTGTCAAAAGGCAGAGGCGTTTATCAAGTCTTTATCCTCAGACGAATGCAGCTGCAAACACTAAAAACTGACAGTAGCACCTTTTTTACCTCCAACGATCGTCCCACAATCTTCCCAGAGAAAACTCTTGTTCTCTCTATCTCACAGGACTCTAGAAGTTTTCTCTGTTTTACTCAGGTCTTTTCTCCCAATGCCTACCTCCTCCACTAAAGCACTGTACCCAGAGACAACCTGCTTTACCTTCTAAACTCTTCAAGCTGATGAAGAGCATTGACTTAAGACCTCAAACGTCCTGTCGTCTATATAAGCTACAAAGCAGCCACACTCATCAACCTGGGCCAGTGGAAATTATTCAAACTGGAAGACGGACAATAGCTACTTCAGCCTCTCATCGTCCGCTTGTTGAATCTGGCTGAAAGCTATATACCTCAGTTATTATTTTCTGGAAGACATTTGTGTGCAGAAAACTCAAGGCGACAATCATTGACGGAATTGATCCAACAGACAGGAGTTAATATCCAAGCAAGGTGCAAGCTGCAAAGTAGAGAAGCAGCACTGGTGTCTTCCATTTGCCTTGGGGAGAAAAAAATATGACCAGGGAGAAAAGTGGAGTACTGCCTTGGAGAAAACATAACTTCATGTTTCCCAGCATATAAGCCGGACTATCTAAGCTATCTAAATACACCGGCAAAAAACACAGGGGGCTTTCAGTGAGCTTATTTTTACACCTAATGCCCCCAAGCAGCAGCAGAAGGTCTTGAACATTTCGCCAGCTGTTTCTGTGCTGCAATTGAGACACAAAGAATCTTTCTGGGAGTTCAAATGCAAATAATCCTCACAGGTGGCAGAAGAGGCACAGAAGAACTGAGCAAGTGAAGAAGGATGTAATGGTGAGTTTTGTTCTCTTATTTTGGCTTGCCATGTATGTTGTGTGGGTTTGAACATAAGAAAATTAAGTCTGTAAAGTGTTGCATGTGCATTGGGAAAAACGGGGTTGCGGAATATAGATTTGTGACATGGCAGAACAGTTTTTATGTGTTAAATTAAAAAGTGTGTTGCTTAAATTTGAGGAAAACTGATTTGGGAACATCTCTGTGAGATCCAAAAAATCCATGACAATCTTTGCTTTGACACTGCACTGTGTCAAACAAACCAAACCCCTTCTCTCACTTGTGGTGGCGCTGTACCAAGAACCACTGAAGAAAATGACACAAAAACCTCTGAAGACACTGAGCACAAATTACTTTTTCACAGAATGTAAACTAAAATGGAGTGGCATCAGATTTTAGTGGTTGTAGGATTTCTCTTTTGTCTCTGACAAAAGAGCACAAGCCATTTCTCCCACCGACGCTATGCGCTATGGTCCGCTTCCTCCAAGTGGAGAAGTCAGAGTTCACTTTTTTGGTCCGCATCAGAGTGCTATTATGCATTCACACCTACATAAACAAACCGGACCTTCTAGGCAAACATACTGGAGTTCAATTGAAGTCCGAACAGGATTGGTGTGTATGAACCCTAAGAATACCAACCTGACATGAACATGAAGTTGAACATGATTGTATCTGTTTTAACAAACATTACCTGTTATTTAAACCAATGTTTTTAAGGAGGCCAGTGGTGCTAGTACACCTGTTGGCAGGCACCTGAGTGTGTCATTTGACTCATTACACAGTCTCTCTGTTATTCATTCCTCTATAGAAATTTGGAATATTAAAACCATCTCAGAATGGATGTATGTTTGTAGGGTTTTTATTTTTATTTTTTATTTTTTTGTGCTGATGTTTTATGGGCTAGTTGAATATATGGAATTTTCCTTGTGATAAAGTATTTATATATCTCTATCTGTTTTATAACAACAACGAGGAAACTGGAAACAGGAAAAACTCTTCATCAGACTACGAAATGACTATGTAGTATGTGGTTCTATTTGCTTTTTATGCTCACAGATGAAAACAATCTTTTTCTCATTTATTATTTCATTACTTTTTATCTCTAGCTGGCAGTTAAATGTCATTTGAATCGTTTTACGATACAGAGCTGAAACAGATGTCAAACCCTGATGTCAGTAACTGAAATGAAAATATTCTAATGCCAAAAAAGACCAAATTCACTCCAGCTATAGTGGTTTAGATATCAGCACATAATGAAACTGATCCAGTCTTAAGATTCAAAAGTTTTCCAGATATACTTCTGGAAGTCAACAACTTGGTCATTGATTTAACAAAGATGAAACAGAAAAGCTGCTTGTGAAAAACTAAGTACACCCCATGATTCAATAGCTTGAGTAACTTGAATTAATCCATTTCTATATGATGTCAGTCATTCCAATCAGTATGGGGGAAAAAAAAATAAATTTTGATTTCCTAATGACACATTTGACTCCATGATACCTTAGTTTGTACAACAAATCTTAGGGGCCTGGGAGGTACTGAGTACCCTGACATAAGCCCTCCACCACCATGCATGGAAGCTGTGCCGCATAACATGGCCAGGAATCTCCACTTTGTTCTGATCTGTCAAAAGAAGGTGGCTCAGTAACATTTTGGTTTATTCAATCACAACTTTTCAAAGCTAACATGCTAGCCTAACCCCCAGACTGTCAGGGGCCCCATAAATGCTGTAATTTCAACACAGACCATCGAAGTAGAATTTTAGCATTTGGTTATTGTGAATGACAATGTTATTAAATCTGATTTAATGATTTCAGCACAGATAAACAAAAAATATTAAATTTGTTTAGCACTTAAATTTACTATTTTGAGTAGTTGGTAAGTTTACTTTGCAACAAACAAAATCTTCTCATTCTATAAATTTAATCTTTGTGTTTGAGTTTAGTTTGCCCACAAATACATAGTGGTAGTGATGTTAACAGGAAGAGGGGCCATTAAGTCATATTCTGCCTAAGACCCCATAAAACCTTGGCCCGGCCCTGCTGCAGTATTTTGATCTGCTGGTTGTGATTGGTTGATATTTATTTAAGCGAATTCAAGGAATACTCCGGATGATAAAGATGTGTCTGTGATTAGCGTTGTTGTTCAACTACATTAACTTTATCTAGCTGCATTTGCACATACAGAGCCAAGCACCTGCCAGAACACGTATTGACCCTTTGAGATTCAAACAGACACAATTTGTTCATGTGCGCTCGCATCAGTCTCACCGAACACGCAACAGGAACAGCCGAGTTATGGTCGCTGTTCATGTTGAACATTTGATCCGTACGCTGGTGCAGTGTTCTCTGACGATGAACCCCAACAGAGAGTCATAGGAAAGATGATCGTTTCCTAAATCTGCTCAGTCATGTTTTTCATTGTACAGTGAATTTAAAGCAAATAAAATTGACTCAAGTCCTCCACATAGTGAAATGGTGCATAATTTGCAAAATATGACAATCTAATGGACTGTCATTAGATAGTCCATTAGACTATCCAGATAAATGGATAAGCATCCATTTATCTGGATGCTTATCCAGATAAATAACTGGATAAGCATCCAGTTATTTATCTGGATGCTTCATAAGAAGATCTTATTTGCTGCTTTAAATTTCACATATATGTGGAAAACTTAACTCTCCGCAGATTTATGAATGAAAGTCCAGTTTTGGGCTACATATCCTAACCATAACCTGCACTTATTGGTTCATATTTTTGCTTGCTCTGTTCGTAAAAGCTGACGTTGTATTGAACGATTGCTACAGTTGAAATGTCAACAATATAATTATATAGATGTGATCTTCACTGTGTAAACATGACAGAATTAGAGGAGAAGAAACCAGTGTGATGGATGGATCTCTGCGATGAAAGTAGAATTAAACTGTGGCGTTTTCCCTCAGAAAGAGATCCAGACACATTTTAAACATCATCTTTGATCTTTTCAAATCCTTTACAGCCTATGTCTTCCCTCTGGTTGATGTTGCCACAGCAACACGTAGCCCTTCCTCCTCCATGTGAGGCTGTTATTTTCAGTGACATACAGAAGGCAAAGGTAGCTGTCAGAGAAAAAGCTTTTGCAGAATAGGAGTAAAACACACCACACTATATACTGGGCGCAATATTTGAGCTACTTAATGTCACAAAATATTTTTTACTTAAACAGTTATCAACTGTTCTGTTTTGCAGAAACACTTGGCTGTGGCTCATGTAAATTAAATATTAACTGAGCATGATTTTTTTCCTTTTGAAGTGTTGAATCAATATATAAATGATGTAGTTTTTGTTTGTTTTGTTTTTTTACTTTGTTATGATTTCAGTTTTTATCCTAACCAAGAGGCACCTTATTAAAGTAAGCGTATATCTAGGTTGTACAAAAACAAAAAAAAATTACTTGAAGGTTCCATATGGTTGTGGTAGCACATTAAATTCTGTGATGCTAAAGCTATCATGAGTCACAATGCAAAATGAACATATTCCACAGTGTTAGTGGGAAATGGCGCTCACATATTCACCATCAGGCTGAATGTACTTCAACTCCGTCTCCATGATGATGAAAGTTCTCTCCTTGTAAAAGTCAAGTGTGACGGCCCCCCCGTGGCTAGACTGCCCCTTTAAACGCCAGCTCATGATGATGAACGCTCTCCTCAAGGTCGTCATCCACAGCAAGGGCTCCCGAAGGGATGGGGTGAGGAAGAAAATGTTGGAAAATTCCAATCAACCCTGTTTCCTGTCAAATAAAGCTCCGATTTCTCTGCCCAGGTTTTCTGAATGTTGAAGTTGGTCATTTAGGGATTTAATCAAGAACGGTTCTGTGTAGCATTGTTGAATAGTGGCAAAAATCACAATCTTTTTGACTGCTTTTCATATCCATATCGTAAAGGACTGCTTGGAGAGCAGTAATTGTTGATTAATATATTTTATGAGTTGTGAAGTTATATTTTACTTACTGATGCAATATTTAGCCAGTAGGACAGTCTCACAGTAGCTAAAGCTCACACCCAAATTTCTAAAGGTCACATGTAGTAGGAAGCACAAATTAGAAGGAAAGGAAAGAAGGAACCAGACATATAACAGACCTGATATTATTATCACAATATCTACCAATGTTATCGCCATTGCAAGATTTCCCTAATATCTTGCAACCCTACTAGTTGTGTTTTCATGCCTTTGTCATTCAAGTTTTGAGGAAACTATTAAAATTTAGCAAAAGTACCATGGCTGAAATAAAGTAGATATAGAGGGTGTAAACCAGCATGGAGCACACATCTCAGACAAATGAAGACAGTCCTTCCCTCTGAGCTGGAGGCTTGGAAATGCTTTCGAGGTGCATGGCGCTGGTAAGGTACAGACAGCCATTACTGCTCTCACCCCAGCCCAGAGCACCACCAGGTGGCCACTCCAGGCTGATGGTCCTCCCCTCAGCCGTGGAGGTTTGGACTGAGAAACTTTTCGTAGCTCTGGTACAGCACAAACCCACCAGTGGATTCTAGTGTTCGCTACGTTGGAACTTATTTGGCAAATGTGTTTTCATCTCCCCTTTAGTGTGTTACATATTTCTTTCCGCAAAGCCAAAAACCACCTAAAATGAGCATAAATCATAAAAATTGTTGCTTGTAACACGGCTGTGGTGTCACTGTTTAGTAGCCGCCTGAGCTGTCACCTAAATACAGTTTTAGTTCCTTAATTCATACCACAATAGAACGAAAAGTTTTCAGTTTCGATGAAGCTAATATTTTTCACAGACAGTGTTAGCTTATGTCATCCAGTGGGTTTACCACTTCACTGTTGCAGTTGCAGGAGCTTTACTGCCCTTTTCAGGTTGCCCTCTAGCATCAGTGTTGTAGAGTTAGCATTCTAGCGTGGGGCATTGTTTGGCGTTTCTCAGTCTGACTTCAGAGGGAAAGTACCACCAAGCAGCGCTGTGGTGTTTGCCTTGTTAGCTAAAGAGGCTACATATG